ATTCTCTTTTACTCAATTGCCTCGTTTCCATGTTAACTTATTTTAGCATGTCAGGGTCAGATAAAAATTATATTCCCATGTTTTCCTGGACTAATTTGTTTCTTGCTGTTCTTAGGCTCAATAACAAAGTTATTTTCAATCCCAGCTAAGCACAAAACACGAGTAAGTATTTGACATGAAAACGAGGCCATTGGGTAATCAGTAAGGCCTGTTATTCGCAAACAGGAATAACGAGTAATTTCACTCTATTTCGTGAGCTAATTTTAATTTTTACGCGCACGACTATGGCGAAACCCTAGGGCAATGGCGAAGCTAACCATGGCAACACGTTCATGCTATCATAGTTAATAGAATAGAATAGAATAGATGGTTTGGAAACTCATTAGAATAACAACATAACTCATTATCTATGTTAGTCAACGTTTATTCATAAACATAGTCGTTCACCACGCGTGTATTGTGTTCTTGCCAAATCCACCAATAGCAATTTTCAATTTACCCTATTGTTCAAGTTACGGATTGGTAACTTTCCTAAAACATTCCTATTGGTTAGTTGGGCAAAAATACAATACGCACGTGACGGTGAACAACCAGATTTATGAATAAACGTTGACTAACATAGATAATGAGTCATATTGTTATTCTAGTGAGTTTCCAAACCATCTATTCTATTAATTATGATGCTATGCTAATAAACTTCAATTTAAATAGGTTAAGACAATACATTTCTAAATATAAAAGTTTGAACAAATGCCAATCATTAATGACAACAGTGTCAAGACTAGCTCGCCACTGACCTAGGGTTAGATGGCATTGCTTAACATATTTATTTTTGCAAAGCAGTGAAAATTTCGTATAAATAGTCTTCAAAATAATACTCAGCTAGCTGGCGAATGGTCTTCGTTTAAAGCCTGATTTCCACTAGGCGGAATTTTGCGCGCGGAGCGGAATTTTTCTTTGTCTTGTGATTTCTCAGGTGGAACTAATTATAGAAAAGACAAAGAAAATTTCCGCTGCGCGCGCAAAATTCCGCCTAGTGGAAATCAGGCTTAAAACCGGTCGCCGCGTCGCGGATTGCTCTATTGCTAGTTCATTGGAGCAAACGCGTCGCGGTGATCGAGGTTGGTCGTAATCTGTCAAAAAATGTTTCTCGTTATATTCATGTCAACCCAATTACGACGAATTCCATTCTATTAAAACTGCATTATCATAAGACATTATCAGTAGATTTAAAAAAAAAATTATCCTGCTGAAATTCTGCTGCTGAAATATTTCGCAACTAGTGGAAGTACTAATATTTGCACCAATCAACGCAATTGGAATGTATCACGTGTTGTATTGGCACGAAGCGCCAAGTTCGATTTTTTAGCATAAACATTCAAAGTTTGAAACTGGGTAGATTTTCAATCAATTTTAGTTACAATACCAAACAAAATACATAGATTTTGTTTCAAAGGTATGTTTAGTGTGTATTTACTATTCTGTATATATACACGAATAGTTTTTCTCGATATGTAGTTTTACATATTTCTAAATTGAATGCCTCTATATATACAAGTCGCTTTGCCTTTGACGCTGTATTGCCGAAGGTCCATAAACTGTATTTACTTTATACAGTTATAATTTTTAAGTGATTTCTTTTAGCAAAAGTCTGTAATTTATTTTAGTTTTCCAAATTTTGTGATTTATATTTGACGATCTGTTCGTTGGTGTGTATTGGACGAATACAGTTGTATGTAAAGTGCGAAGGTAATGGGGAATTTATATTGTTATAAATAGACGACTATTTTCATTTGCAATTGCAAATAACAAATTGTTAACCTACCGTCTATTTTAAGTTATTATTTTATAATTGTATTCATCACCTTATTCATCATATATTTGATGTTAATTTTATACTATCTATAGTAGGTTATGTACAGTATATTATTAATATGCATGGCCTTGCTTGCACGGAGACATGCTTAAGGCCGTTTTCCACTAGGCGGAATTTTCCGCGCGGAGCGGAATTTCTCTTTGTCTCTTCTAATGGACCTATTCCCTAATGAACAAAATTTTGATCTAGACAAGTCTAGACAAAAATGTCATCATAGCTTGAAAGAGCATCACAAAATTAGTAATATTCCGAAGTTTCGTTGCGAAATGTTGTAAAATGCGGATAATATAGTCCTGCGAAGTTTGCCGTTTTTCAGTCATTTTGTATTACGCGTGGGAAATTGATACTTTTTTTCAGAAAGCTGTATCAATTTCCCGTGCGTAATACAAAATGACTGAAAAACGGCAAACTTCGCAAGGCTATATTATCCGCATTTTACAACATTTCGCAACGAAACTTCGGAATATTACTAATTTTGTGATGCTCTTTCAAGCTGTGATGAAATTTTTGTCTAGACTTGTCTAGATCAAAATTTTGTTCATTAATAGGGAATAGGTCCATTAGTTCCACTCGAGAAATCACAAGACAAAGAGAAATTCCGCTCCGCGCGGAAAATTCCGCCTAGTGGAAAACGGCCTTTAGAATCATTGTCAAGCACTCTAATAACAAAGAGAATCATTCCTACCGACCAAACTATACTTATGTGTGCTCGATAAGAGAATGCCAATTAATTCGATACATTACATTTCTATATTGTTTTCATTATTGAAAAATTTGCTACGTATGATTGATATGTATACATGTACAATGCCATTCTTGTTTCATATTAATGAAAATGCATTGTAATTTCTCCTGCTACCTCATATTATTATTAGATATACATGCATGCAACAACCCTCTCGCCCACATTTTCCAAACATTGTTTCAGCATGAACTATTCTAATTACGCCAACACGGAACGCAGGCTCGCGTTGCTCGCGTCATGTTAGCAATGGCAACACGATAATCGTTTTCATAATTCTTTGTTCAAACCAGCAAAATAAATGAATGTTTTACCCTATGAACCACAGAACTATCGATTTAAAATTCATCACGAAACGCTTCGTAAAATGTTTTCAAATGTTCATTGAAATTAACTGGTTTTTGCCGAGGTAAACTCTTCAACTTATTAATATTACTCGTACATTGAAATGAAATAAATTTAATTTTAAACAGCTATATTTTTGACAAAATCAGTGAGATGACAACCCATGCATAGTCATGCGCCAGTGATTATTGATTAACTTTATACTTCGCTAATGCTTTCCTTTTCCCCAGGTGTAAATAGCTGGGGAATATAAATAACAATAATTTGTACTATTTACAACATGAGCGGCCGTGTTGTATCGGATCCACGTTCAGGTCAACGGGAAAATAATAGAGGAAAACTACTCCTTGAAATGTTTGCTGAATTTGACATGTTTCCAGTTAACGTGGATATGCCCTGTATGGGTCCGCTATTCACGTATTACTCAAGTTGTGGTAACAGTGTTGTTGATTACATTTTTGCGAGTAGGAACATCGAAAGAATTGTAAAGTGTGTTAAAGTTGGCGACGAACATCCGTGCAATTTATCTTATCATCTGTCGTTGATTTCTGGCATTGAAATTTCTGCTGGTATAAACTGCCATGAATCATCTAATAATTTAGAGAACGAGTATGAACGAATTGCGTGCAGAAAATGTGCTTCGGAACAAGTACTAGAATATCAAAGGAGATTATATGATACAATCATAACAATGGATGATACCTTATACACCAGTGATGACGTTGAGAACTATTATCGTTTGATCTGTCGCAGCGTAAAAAGCAGCGACAAATGTCTACCTCGTGCGAAGTATAAGAAGTCCATCAAGCCCTACTGGAATAATGAACTCAAGCGATTAGAGACAACTTGCATGGAGCTTCATAAGAAATGGACCTCAAAGGACGTCCAACAGGAGAACAGTATGAAAGTTTTCGGTTATACAAAGATGCAAAGCGTCTATTCAGAAAGGAACAACGTAAAATGGTACGAAAAACAGAGGAGAATGATTTCAAAGAGCTTAGTGAGGCTTCCGAGATCGATCACATCAAGTTTTGGAAATATGTAAACCGACGTAGAAAGAAGAAAAGATCAACTAATGTGCTCACAACGAATGATGGAAGAACTATCTCAAACCCAGAAGAAATAGCAGATGTGTGGGCTAATTACTATGAAAAACTTTTAACTCCTGAGGAAAATACAAATTTTGATGATGACTTCAGGGAGTGTATCGATATCGAGGTTAGTGACATAACAAAAAATCCTTAGCTGAATTTGATGATATCTTTCAGGATCCCATAACTTTAAAAGAGATCGAGGATGTGCTAACAGTATTACCAAATAATAAAGCTCCCGGTGATGATGGCATAACGTATGAACATATTAAGTACTCTGGGGACATTCTGGCTGCCAAACTGCTAATACATTATAATAAGATCATTGAATTGGAGTACATTCCAAGACAATTTAAGTTAGGAATTAAGATTCCAATTCCAAAGCGAGGGAAGAGCTGTGCGTCAAAATTCGATGATCACAGAGGAATTACTCTTCTTTGTACTTTTAACAAAGATTTCGAACGTTTAGTACTCAACAGGCTTCAAAATAAAATAAGATGTCGACCCCACCCGCTTCAAGGCGCCTATCAAGCTGAGCGTGACGCCTTGACGACTTCATTTGTTATTGACGAGTCAACTAAGCATTGTTGCGAGGAAAACGATAAAGTATTTGCCTGCTATGTTGATGTCTCAAAGGCATTTGATAAAGTATGGATAAATGGTATGTTGTTTAAATTATATCACAACGTAAATATTAGAGGAAAGTGCTGGAGGGTAATAAAAGGTTGGTACTCAGACATGGAGGAATATGTCCTTTATAATGGTAAACGTTCCAGACAGTATAATATCTTACAGGGGGTTCGACAAGGTGGGGTATTATCGCCATGGCTATTTCTTCTCTTCATTGATGACATGATAAGCGAGCTGGAAAAGCTATCCACAGGTATAGTTATTCAAAATTTGTTTGTTGGATCACCAATGTTTGCTGACGATCTTACGTTAATGTCAAGATTAAAACGAGGTCTTGATAACATGCTTGTACAAGTTCATGAGAAAAAAATTGTTGTGCTGACCTTTGGCGAAAAACGAGATAACATATCGGCAATTACGAGCAGAAGGTGGCTTATAGGAGGTAAAGAAATCATGGAGAAAAGTATCTGGCATTATCTTGGAAAAGATTGGCACATCGACGTTTCCAGCCTTCTTCCAATACTAGAGGCTGTGAGGAAAGGTCAGGCTATCAGCATTGGTTTAGCAAATCTGGGATGTAGATTTAACGGGATGAGTCCATTGGTGGCGACTAAGCTGTGGGCACAAATTGCTTTGCCGAAAATGTTGTACGGTGCTGAGTTGTGGACACTTGATCGAGAAAAACTATCAAAATTGGAAAAGGTACAGAATATATTTTTAAGAGTATGTCTGGGTTTACTTAGTGGTACCTCGGGTTCAGCTGCACGTAGACTTCTTGGTCTGTGGACGGTCGGAGCAGAAATAGACAAACGAAAGCTTCTGTTTCTCAGACGACTAATATGTGCAAGTGAGGACTGTGTACATTGCAGGGTATTCATGATACGACTTAATAGATGGAGATAGAATCCGAACAAAATCACTGGTTTTGTACCAGATTTGGTTAGAATCTTACAGAAATATTGCTTGTGGGAGTATATGGACAATTTTCTGCAGTCTGGAAATTTTCCCAGCAAATCTGAATGGAAGAAAACAGTAATTGAGAATATTAATCATACGGAGATTGAGTTTTGGAAGATCAAAACGCAACGTTATAAACAATTAGGATTATACAGCCAAGTCGTAAAAGAACCAATGCGTAACATGTGGCTGCAGTTTGCTCTCGAAAACAGCGAGATGGCCAACCAAGTGGCAATTATTGTTAAAATTCTTTGTGGGTCATTCTATGTGAATGGTGTGAGATTTACTGGGGGAAAAAACACAATTTTATTGTAAGTAGTAATATAGGGGCCGTTCGGGCCTTATTTTTGTGGTGGAGTGTGGTGGAGTGTGGTGGAGGAAGGGTGCGTAATGACGTCACTCATTAACATACGTCATAATTACATGCAATGACGTCACGCGGGCAGGCTTAAACACGATCGGGCGAAACTTGCTGACTATGCATTTTTTAGCGTCCCTTCACGTGTATGATACAATAATTAGGGCTATATACAAGAGAATATGTTGTTGTTTGGAGTTTTATAAGTACAGCTATAGCATTTTGCTGTTATTGTCAAGTGATTTTTTTAATTTAGCTCCTAGAGGAGTAAAAAATCTGATACTATATGAAATAGCATTAGTGTTATATATCTAAAACTTATATATTCGGGGTACACAACTATATGTTTTGTTGTTAAGTAACATATAAATATTATCAAGCGTCAAAACGCTGAGAAATAGCATGCGGTAAAGAGT